TTCTGCCCTCCACTTGTTGGATTCCATGCTTGGGAGCAGCAGAAGCGCAGTTCCTTCTCCATCAGCTAGTCGGAAAAGATTCAAAAGAACACATACCCTACTAACACTCCTCCCCACGATTGTACCCCACTCACACTCTTCGCGATGATGGTGCCGGGAAGGCCTTGGTGTTAATATATATAGAAACAACAGCGGACGAGGGGGGGTTTGAGTTCGCAAAGGCAAAAAAGACACGGGCCGGCAAAGAAAACAGGCGCCGACTTCGGAAAGGCAGTTTGGCTCGAAAAGTATGCATTGGGCATTTTTTGTTTTTCCTTTTCTTTCACCATCTGACACCACGGCCGACCCCTGTAAATATGACACCCAGCCTGACACCACGACCGTTGGTACTTTCATTGCTTTTTCGAACTCGACGCCTGGTTTCTTTGCCAGCGCGTGTTTTATTTCGCTTATTCGATACTCAAAAGTGATATAAACGTACTAAGCTCTTAATTAAATATATAACATTGATATGTTTAAGCATGCCCCCCGTCATTACTGTCTGTATGTCATTTGAATGTCTAATTAACTTATGAGAAGTTATGACATGCTATGAACCTCTTAGTTCACCAGCAATGAGCGCACACAATCACACATCATGCATGAGTGAGATCACACGAAGTTCGCACAGGAGGCCAGAGAGATGAAGACCAGATAGAGCAGCTCATGAATTCCAACAAATTATCACAAGAGCATCAAGAGTTCAATTCACCAGCGCTCATCAGCGCTTGCAAAAGTAACCCGTAACTAGTGTCAGCTCTCAGGTAAGTATCTCTTCCAGCTCTTCTCTCCCCCTGTCTTTCTCTCTTACTTACTGGTCTTCTCTCTAGCTATCTCCTCACAGTGTCTTCTCTCCCTACATGCATGCACGCTCACTAACAACTACTCAAGGATCTGCTCTGGATACACCCACTCCTATGCCTATTAACTACTACTAACTAGCACTAACACTCTGCACTGGCGCAGCTATGGCTGCCTTCCCTCTGCCAGCGCAATCTCATCCTCCCTCTCTCTCTCCCTTAGTGCGGCGTCCTGGCTCAGCGCTCTGCCCCTCACTACAGCGCACAAGTGCACCAGCACTTCCACACTTCTTGCGGATGAGCAATCTGCCCGAATGGTAGGCTTGCCAGTCCTTTTGTAGTCTTTGATTGCACTTCAACTCGTGCCAGCCTCTGCTTCTTGGGGCCTGATTGGGTTCCGGTACCACATCCCCACGGCCTGTCTGCTTTCGAATGTCAAGGCGTGGAACCTTCCCGAATTTCCATTGGTCTGCTGCTGCTTGGGCCTTTGAGTCGTGACTTTTCGATTTTGGCATATGGTTTTGACTGTGGACTGTGACTCCTGCCACTGGGACACGACTCTGGCCTGTGGAGATGCCCCTTTTACTCGTGGGATGTGACTGTTCAATATGACTTTTCATTATGAAACGTGATTCTTGCCCCTAAGATGTGACTGTTTGCTGGGTGCCTGTGGGACTGGACTACTGAGGTACCCGACTGTGACTCTTCTGAAATCGACTAACTTGGCCTTTCTTGGCGATCTGACCCTGAGACCCGAATTTGGGGTCTGAATTGTGGAAGGCCTTTCAGGCACCCGTCTTATTAACTTATTAGGGGACGCTGGAGCCAGTTTGCAGCAGGTGATGCTCCCCACAAATAGAACGCGGTCTGGCGAAGGTACTACCGGGAGCGGCGGGAGGTGCTCATACCTCCCCGGGTAGTAACCGGAGCCTAGTTAAAAAAAAAAGAGAAAAAAACTAGGCTGCTAGAGTGGCCCGGGGTCACTTGCCCGGCCGGGCCAAAAAGAAAAAAGAAAAAAAAAAAGAATTATTTTTAATTTTTAATTTTTATTGTAAATTTGGTGAAGAATTTCGATGTGACCTTGAGGCAAAAGTTGTTAAGTTTATTTTTCTGCATAACATAGTTTTTTTTCGGTTTTTTTTTTTTTTTTTTTTTGCTAGGACCTTCCTTGGTCCTTGCACGGGCTGGCCACCCGGGACCCGGGCGGCTTGGCTGGTAGCCTAGGAAAAAAAAGAAAAGGGTATTAGTCTTTGTGGGAACTACATGAGAAAAAAATGAACGGACGAGGAGGGTGCCAGAAAGTAGGGGGAAGGGAAGGGTCAAGGGGCTCATTCTCGGGGGAGGGTTTTAACAAAAGTAGGTACCAGACTGCAGTGAAGAAGCTTGTAGTGACTGGGTACCAGGGAGAGTCTCTTGGCAAGCCGTCATTGCTGAATCTGGCAGAACAGGGTTTTTTCCACAATGAGATTGAAGTTTTTGTAAAGCTAGCCGGTGATGAGCAACCGGGCTGCAGCCCCCCAAGAGTAGATGGGTCACCTGTGTATGTGTGGGTTAAAAAAAAAAAAAAAAAAAAAACCTTAAAAGTTAATACTAGTTGATAGTGTCTGTGATTTGTAATGACATGATTGTCTCTTCAGAAAGAACACGAGTCTCTTTCAATTACGTGTTCCAATCCCGCAAAAGAAAAGAAAAGAAAAACAAAAGTCCGTGTTTACCGAGATTTTCGTCCCTCTCGCTCTCGTTTGGCTTACAGTGTCACTTGTTTGCATTTCTGGCCTGTTCGTTCAGGTCCTATGCGCTGAAGGCCTGGCCTTTTCCATGATAATTGCACATACATGTGAAATCAAGCACCATTGCATCCTGGACAGGACGTGGCGTTAATTGTGATTGTTGTCGTGCACACCCGTTTGCCGATGAGCGTCTTTGGAAGTGATTTTGGACTCTGGAGAATCGACGGAGATCGAATACACTGTACAAGACGATAGTTGAAGGACGATGTAACTCTATGCAGCTGTACCGGGCCCATTTGTTGCACCACGGAACGATCGGGGTATATTTGTAAAAGCCGTTGGCAGGTAGTGTTTTTCTCAAATTTCTCTCCTTCATTTCGCATCAATGAAGACTCTTCTTACGCCAGTTGGCCGGTGATCGTTCTGCCGCCTTACGGCATATGATTTTGAAGTGTCGTCATCATGTCATCGTAGCGCAGGCAGATGAAGAAGTCTACCGCTGCAGGTTTGATGATTATTTGTTAAATTGTGAGACTACAGATCGGTATTAGATTCGATGACACCTTATGGTTAAGTCTCCCTCTCACCTTTTCACCTCATCCAATAGCTTCTGAGTAGCTTGCAGGCTTGTATTGAAGCTTAGGTTAATGTGAATTGTCATCATCGTTGTGATGATATGATCGCAAATCACATAATGTCTTAAACGAGCAAGACAAAAAGAAAAAAAAAAGGGATTCAGAATCCGTAGTAGCGTCCGAAATCTGTAAATCTGGAAGACTAACAAAACTCTGGCTTTTTTTTTTTTTTTTTTTTTTTTTTTTTTTTTNTTTTTTTTTTTTTTTTTTTTTAAGTCAGTTCGGAAAATAGTCGGTCTCCGACCTTTCAGGAGGCGGAAACGAAACGACGGCCGCCGATCAGATTTATCAACGGCAGCCGTTGTCGGGCCTGGCCTCCTAAAAGTTCGGGACTAGGCTGCAACTTGTCGAAACCGGACGGCAAAGGTACTAGTGGTTTAAGAAGGGCGGCCTGGAGATATTGTCATCATTGAAGCTGACCAGCCCCCCAGGTAATTCAGAATCATGTTATTCTGGGCATCTGATTGTATCTGGATTCGAACTTGGGTCTGATTCGTATTTCAACAGTTCGTGGGTGAGCACTGAGCTAGGCTCGTCAATGTCTGAGCTTTCTTATAATTTTGAATTTTCCTTTAATTCCTTTTTTCTTCCATTTTCTTTCAAGTTATTGCTACTGTCTTCCCCCGAATAGAACACCCGGAAATTATTGGCGTACCTGGACTGAAACGGTTTTCACCTTTTGCAGTAGCAGACGCAGATCCCAGGGCTCGATCCCTAGTCCCCGCCTTACCTGTGTACAGTACCTGTGTCGACCCGTAGAGTTGAGTCGACGACCTGTGTATTTGTAGCAGTTGATAGGCTGTCGTAGGGTCCATAGGTAGCCAGGGTTCGATCTGTAGGTCTGTCGAATACAAGTCTTAGTGAAGTCTAGAAGTCTCAGCTGTAGCCTTCTAGAAGGTCGGACAGTGGGCAAGTGGTGAGTCAAGTGGTGGACTAACTGCAGAGCGATTGCAGTACGACCTCAGTAAGTTAGCAGTGAGTCCCGAAGCAGTCAGCGGTAAGGTCCAGTCAGTCCCAGTCCGGTCCAGCAAGTACCACGAGGGACTGTGAGCACCATGGGCCGATGGAAAAGGGAGACCAACGAGCTTGAGAAGTATAAATCAAGAGGCAGCGCCCAGCCATTCATTCATTCCTGCGTGAGCCATGCGGAACCGCTGCCACAGCGACTTGTGCAAGGAGGTCTGCAGTGAGCCCGGAGCCGAAGTGGGCGAGAGAGAAGGAGCATAGCATAGCGATAGGGTAGTTGCGGCCATAGCCGCCATAGCGAGAGTTTGTGTGTAGTGTGTGTGTGTGTATGTGTGAGTGCAGAGTATCTCGTCTGGGATATCCAGGGTGATCCGGTGTATGGGAACAGAGAGTTGTTTGGGCGCTGAGTCGCCATAGCCATCGAGAGTGAACTTGTATCTGGACTGTGTTTCCGGCGACCATATCTCTGAGTTCTGAGTGAGGGCGCTTGTCGCCAGTTTGCTGCGCTACTGTTTGCATACATGTAAAGACTTAGTGTGAATGAAAGCAAGTCTGATTGCAGGACATAAAGTTGCACCAAATACAGCTATAATGAGCGGGCAGCCGATTTGGGTGAAGACGGTAGTCCGGTAGCCTAAGGGGATTCGCCGACGCTTGATTCATCTCTGCCGCTCTGCGACGAGTCTGCGTAAAAAGAAACAGAAAAAAATGGAGTTGGAATCCGGTCTAAAATCACTCTCGCGTTCGCTACTTGCCGGACGGCGCGTTGCAAGCGCCTTAGTTGTGTTAATTAGTTACCTTATAGTCTACAGTACGTCACGTAACAGCAGTTGCAGTTGCAATGCATTTGTTGCACATGCCGTAGTTCACAGTAGTGATGCTGAAGTCTTCTCCACCGTGACGAACACCACTGTTGCCGCAGATGCCAACGATGGCGGGACCGATTTCGATTCTGTAGGTGCTTCGGAGTGCAGACTGAGTTCCGATGTGGGATGGGGGTCATTGCAATCATCATGGAACGAACGGCGAAGCCTTCAATATTTTCCTTCAATGTTTACCCCCACGGTGAACGGACTCCTCTCTTATGTTGGGGATGTGTTCGTTGCCCTGGAAGAAAAACGAACCGCGGATTCTCATTTCTATGCCAGAGATGTTACTTTTGCAACCGATGGGGCAACCCTATACTGGGTGGAACACAACTACACTGAGCTGGGACCAAATATGACCCAGTTCCAGTCATCAATCAAGCAGGCGACTCTGTCCCAGACGACATCCTCCGCTGCGGGAGACGTTTACACAATTTCGCCGGTTGCTGGGCCATGGCTTAGGCCAGGTGTCCAGCTCACTTCCGCGGTGACAAACATGACGTTTACGTCCACACTCATGGGCGTAGTCGCTTTGGACGAAAAGAAGTTAGTCGTCGCCGACTTCCAGAACAGCCTTCTTCGGGAGGTGGACGTCATCACAAAGCTGGACACGAACTTAACGCAGGCGATCCACAATCCGACATTCTTGGTGAAGCATCCGTTCCAGTCGTCCTTATTGGTCGCCTCAGGAGATCGGATCTCCGTGGTCCCTATATCGTCAGATTCTGGAGCTGGAGGTTCAGCCATTGATGTCCTTGCTGGTCCGTCGACCACGAGCAAGGATAGGGGTTACACGGACAGCGAGATAGGCTCGGAGGTTCGCTTCAACGACACATTTTTCGGCTCCCGCTCGCTTTACAGGAATGGAAGCAGTCTATACGTCGCAGACTACCTGAACCACGTGATTCGGCAGGTGGACATTCGTACCGGCGCAACCAGAACCATCGCTGGAAACAGGAGTGACTTGCCTGAGTTGATGGAGAGAGACGGGCCTCCGATGTTGGCAAAGTTTTCTGGGCCAACAGGGGTTGTTGTGACCTCTGATGGGTGTAATCTGTTTGTTGCTGAGTTTGAAGGGGGAGCAATCCGATGGTTGACGCTTCGAGAGCCGGAGGGAGATGTCATAGCAGTGAGGACGGTTGCATCGTTGCGATACAATCACGGCAACAGAGGACGTGCCGCATTCGTGTCAATCACTCTTTCTAATGACGATCAGTATCTCATCGTGGGGACCTTACGCTCGAGGCTCCTGAAGCTGAAGCTGAACATTTCCGCACTTCACCCCTGTGGTACAGATTCTGAACAATTCACGTCCATCGCTTCACCAGTCCCACCGGTCCCACTGGAACCTTCGACGGCACCCAGAGTTCCATCGGCACCTCGTGAATCTTCGCCTGACAGTGTAGCATTTCCTTCGTCAGATTCGTCACCACTCGAACCTGCATGGGCACCACCGTCGCCCCTTCCACCTAGTACCAACACAACCAGCCAACCGCCGCACCCTGGCAGCCCCAGCTCCGTAGAGTTGCCTCGTGATAAAGGAAGGACCGGCATAACTGCAGGTGCCGCCATCGGTATTGGTATCTCTGTTGCAGCACTGACACTGGGGTGTGTTTTCGTCGTAGTTTTAACTCTAGTACTGAAATTTCGTCGGCCTGCGAGTCAGTCCGGCGTCCCTTCTGACGCTCAGAAGACTACTAGGACACGGCAGGCAAGTTCCCGCACCCGTTCTAGTAGTAGCAAACAGAGCCTATCCATATCTGGGACATCTTTGTTAGGTCCTGGAACCCCCACACTAGAAGTTATAGGCGTCAAGATATTCACGCTAGCCGAGCTAAGGACAGTGACCCGAGGGTTCAGTCGCGACTTTCGCGTAGCTGGCAAAGGTGGCGGGTACGGCGACCTGTACAGGGCTTCGCTGACGATTGGAAAGGACGCTGTCGATGTGGCAATGAAGGTCATGCGAGGCGAACTTGACGATTGCAAGTACAAGCAGTTTGTCGCCGAAGTGCAAACGCTGGGCCGTATCCGACATCGAAATTTGGGTCATCTCATTGGCTACTGCATGGAGGAGAAGATGTGTATTCTTGTCTATCCCTTCATCACGGGTGGAAGCCTAAGCGACCGACTGCATGAGATAGCTGCCGCACGGCTGCAAGATTCATCGCTCAGCAGAGGGAGTGCCGCCATCGACACATCACCACTGGATTTGTCCGAGCGGCTTTCTATTGCCTGCCAGCTGGCAAAGGTCCTACAGTATCTGCACCACGATATCAACCCGCCCATCCTCCACCGCGATATCAAGAGCAGTAATGTGATGGTGAAAAACAGAGGGCGAAACATTCATGCATTGTTGATCGACTTTGGCATGGCTCGAGAGGGGCATGCTAGGAATGAGCTTGCACAAAGTGAGGAGGCATCAAATGCAGCACGAGTGAAGACAGTGGATACCTTGTTCCAGTGTGGCACGCCGGGTTACATTGCCCCAGAGTACGCAATCCACTCCAAACTCACAGTGATGAACGACGTCTATGCTTACGGTGTGGTTGTTCTCGAGCTTGTTGCCGGACAGAAAGCAATCATCAAGGCAGCAGATGGTCGGCAGGTAGGACTCGTCGACTGGACTCGTCCGTACCTTTGCGATGAACACTTGACGTACAAAAAGCTTTTGGAGATCATAGATCCAAAGCTCGTTGCGATCCTGTCGTCCATGGAAGAATGGGCTGCTGTCTACAGGCTTGCAATGGTTGGCTACGGGTGCACACATGACGATCCACGGCGCAGGCCATCAATCGCATCAGTTCTGGAGACAGTCATGCAAACCTGCAAAACTGCAGCAAATGTCAGTACAGGGTTCTCAGCACCTGGTCCTGCTTTCAGCCCACCAGCCGCCCGTTAGCCATAAGAGTCGTCCACAGAATCCTGCCGTCCATTAAACAGCAATCATGAGCTGCCGTCTACAGGAGCCCGCAATCGCCGGCCACGGGTGCTCACACAAGGAATCGGATCTACGATGCAGGTCTTCAATGACAGCAGTTCTGTAGATTGCCATGATGATGGAAATTTACAGCTCTGCAACAACTGTCGGCGCTTTCAGCCCTGCCAACCGCGTGTTGGCCATAAGTCTTATAGCCACACGAGAAACTCTATCAGCCGTTGACGAAACAAAAAAAAGCTTTCAGTGACAGGCGTTCCTGAGAGAGTCTACAGAACTGCCACAGCCGTCAGCGCAGGGCTCTCACCACAGGGTCCTGCTTTCAGCTCGCGAGCAGCCAGTTGGCCATGCCGAACTAAGGCTGCAGTTGCCTTCGCATTTTTGCTGTTCTCCGTGTGCCGGCACTAGTCCCGTGTAAGAGGATAATCGGTAGAAAGCGCCCACGCCAAAACCTTCTTGGTTTTGGGCGCCCGGGGCTAGGTCCCACCTACACGAATTAAGCGATATTGACCGTAGGTAGCAAAGATCAACCGCCAGATTCTCGTAATCGGTGCAAGTGGGACCTTGCCCCCGGAACTCGGCCGATTGGTACTACCGGCCCAATGGCTTCCATGTGGGGTACTATCAGGCCCACGCGTCGCTCCAAGGGCCCTACCAGATCATGAATCTGGCGCATAACAGCGCCAGATTCATTTTGATGTAAAGAGGCCGAGGTTGGTACCACTGAAGTATCGAATGAGGCCCACGTACGGTCTTTTGAAAAAGAAGGGCCCTAGCGGTTGATGAATCTGGCGCAAAAGCAGCGCCAAATTCTTGAGCCCGTAAAAACAGGCCCAGGGAGATGTGGCCACGGCACGACGGCGCCTTTCACCCACTGGCAGGCTGAAGACGTTTGGGCCAGTAGTACAAAAGGGCCGAGTTTCGGGCGCCCAGAACCGAAAAGGTTTTGGCGTGTGGTCTTTCTAGCAATTGTCCCAGGTGTAAGAGCCATGTGAGCAGGAACACGGTCATCCGTGGACTCGGCGTGGACTGAGCTGCCGTCTACAGGATCTTGCAATGATCGCCGCACTGTTGGCCATGGATGCGTATGCGTCATCCACGATGCAGGGGTTCGGTGAAAGCAGCAGTTCTGAAGAGAGACATGGAAGTCTACAGAATTGCAGCAACTGTCAGAGCAGAGTCCCACTGTCGACCCGCTAGCGGCCTGTTAGCCACAAGAGCCAAGCTGGCAGCAGATGGTCACATTCTCACCCTGTTATAGGTAGAAAAAGCTGGTCAGGTGCAGGCCTATCTCGGGGTGATGCTGCCTGCCGTAACTGTTAACTTAATAATTATCTAATATTCAGTTTTTTTAGTTCCGTTAATCCCAGGGTAATCAATGCTGGCAGGAACCTCCCACAATGTCTTATTTTGACACTCTCTCAATTCAATCTGTACATGGGACGCTGGGCCCGTTTTCCAGCAGGTGTTGCTCCCCACCAACAGATGGAGCCTCTCCCCAGGTGCTAGTGGTGTCTGCTCTTATCAGCACCACTAACACTGGAGGGGGATAATAATAATAATAATAATAAATCGTTTCTTCTTAAGTATTGAATATAATTGCCGAGGGTTACAGCGGATGGTGTTTCTAGTTCATGGCACATGGTTATATGCTTGTCGGATGCCCACTACCGTCTTCCGCCCCCCCCCCCCCCGAACATAACGCATAATATTATGCATTGTATTCGAGTTTTCGAATTGGACAATTCGAATAGAACAAAGATGCGTTGTATTCGAAAATAAGTGTTATTCGAATAGAACGCATATGTGTTGTACTCGAAAAGAAAGCAACATCTGCTTTGTATCCGTTTACGACGCATATTATGCATTATGTTTGCCGTTCATGTCGAGGACCAACCGTCTATAATAGCGCTCTTATCTCTTTATACAGTGTATAGCTAACACCCTAGTAATTTTTTTTTTTCTTCTTCAAACTATCTAGTAAATAATTTTATTTAAGTTTATTAAATTATTCGTAATTATTACTAAATTATTAGAACAAAGAATTACACAAATTATTACAGCAAATTACAAGCGGATGAACTCTGACGTCAGTGACGTGTGAAGGGGATGTGTCTAATCGGCATAATCGGCATAACCGGGCCTCACATCCAGCCCTCGTGCATCCTCCAGCGCCAGCAGGTTAGGACACCCTAGGGTAGTAAACCTACTCTGTTCCACATAGCAAAGCGATAGTGACCGTACGTAAGCATAATCTGCTCCACATACAGCGATAATGACTGTCTGTTTCTGTCCATACACCCTTCCTCGCTTAGAATCCTCATGCATCCTCCAGCCGAGTCCAGCGAGCGGTGGAGAAATTCAATGAAAGGGTCATGACTGTCAGTCCCGTCAATCTGTGCCCAGGGGTTCCCCAAGTGTAGGGTCAATAGGATTGTAGGGTCCAGTAGGTCTGTAGGTAGGCACTGAAACGACACAGGCCCAGTTAAACAGGGTAGGCCCAGTCCAAAAGCCGGGTGCGTTTTCCCCAAAAATTAAGCCTGAGTCCCAACCGCAGCAACATTTCAGGACAGGTACCGGTACCCAGGCCAGGCAAAAGTGAGGTTCCGGCCCGGTACCTGAGGCTCAAGGGCCGAAAGGGCAAAGCAGCACTATACATCCAGATGGGGAGTCCGTTTTGGGGGCTCATTTCATTCGTGAATAAGGCGGAAGTGCTGTTTGGCGACTTGGGCTGTTTCGCGGGAGTGAGGCGCCGGAGGTCTGCAGAGCACCTGGAGGAAAGGAAGAAGAGGGCCTAGAGGAAGGAGGAGGCCTGGCGGCCAGCGTAGGGTATTCAGCTGGTCCTACTTGGAAGGAGAGAGAGAGAGAGAGAGAGAGAGAGAGAGAGAGAGAGAGAGAGAGAGAGAGAGTCTTCCGCTATGTGTTGAGTTGAGTCGAGTTGTGTCATGAACTGGCACAGAGCCCCTGAAGCAGCAGAGACAGTGATGTATTAACTAAGTTTTCTTTAAGTATCTGTGTGGCGATGTTAATAATTTCTAGTGCTTCAGAGTTTGGTGTGATCTCTCTCATCATTGCGCTTTTTTTTTTTTTTTTTTTTTTTTTTTTTTTTTTTTTTTGTGTGTGTGTGTGTGTGTGTGTGTGTGTGTGTGTGTGTGTGTGTGTGTGTGTGTGTTGT